CCTATCTCCCCTCTCCACACTCCCTGCCAGTGGCTGATGTCCTCTGGCGCCTGTGGCCCGGCTGGGCCCCTTCCGGGGGGTGGCGTGCCCTCAGGCCTCTGGCCTCTGGGCCTGAGACCCGGTCCTCTCTGGCACAGCTGGCTGCCGGCAGAGCCTGTGGGCACGTCACCGTAACCCCCTCTGGCTCCGTGGCTGCTGGGTGACCTCTCGTTTGGGGCTCTCCAGCTCTTCTCAGGAGGGTGGCAGACAACAATTCTGATGGCTAAAGATCCAAACATCTGTAACAACAGCATGATCCGAACATTTTAGATGGCATAGGCAGCCGTCCTAAATTTTTAACTTCACGAAACCATGACTACAGATGTGTCAGGGTGGCCGAGCGGTCTAAGGCGCTGCGTTCAGGTCGCAGTCTCACCTGGAGGCGTGGGTTCAAATCCCACCTCTGACATCAAGTACCTTGTCTTACACTGTTCAAGTAAAGATGCTGGTGTTGTGTCATGTCTAATTCCGCGTTGGTGGGTTTTGTAATAATTGCCACTATGCTGCAGCTGACATGTACAACAAAGCAAGTCATTAATTTCATGTCACTAATATATTTACTGAAGTCATATAGTAACTGTCATGTGCACTGTGCTAACTATTTATTAAAGGCACTATCACATACTGGTAGAATCACTTTCTTTTACACAAATCTGCAAATTTGAAATCACTGGAGCAACTTCTAATGGCATTATTTTGGCACTCCCATGGTGTAATGGTTAATGCTTTGGACTTTGAATTCACTTCAAAACACATTGAGATCTGCTTTTATGAGACCAAAGTTCTAAGCACCAACCATAATATCATATCTGTAACCTCTGTAACAGCAGCATGTATTGAGGGCTTAAGATGAAACAGGAAGCTCTATATCACCAAAAGGCGCTGTGGAAGATATAGATGGTTGAGCGGGTTAAGGCGTAGATTCGACTGCCACTACTGCATTCAGGTGTTTTCAATGCGGGAAACCGACTTGTTCAGATGAACAGGGTACAACTATTCTTAGTGTTACTCTGACAAAATGCATTTGAGATCTAAATTTCTCATAACACAGGTCTCTTTGTTGTGCACTGTTCAACCCTGCAGAGTGACTGATTTTATAATGATGAACAGCATCTTCATCTTTCATTTGCTAGATGCAAGAAAGTTGCTGTCAGAAGAGGGATTTGAACCCACGCCTCCATAGGAGACTGCACCCCGAACGGAGTGCCTTAGACCGCTCTGCCATCCTGACACAACAGCCCATGAGGTTTGGCAAAATGATAAATTCCAGACGGCTGCCTATGTCATGTTATGCTGTTGCTACCGAGGTTACAGAGTTGATAATACTTGTGCTGGTTAATGGGAGGACAAGTTCATCTTACTCTGGAAGACCTGACAAAGTCACACCTTTCACAAAGTCACACAATTCAGACAGACATTTGTAAAAAACTGTGAAAACCTCAGAAGTTAGCCTCCGGTTTACAGTTTCCTTCAGTCTTTGTGGTCTGCCTCATGAATATTAAATTGCTTGTGTAGCCAAACAGAATTCCTGCAGTTTGATTTCCATCAGTGTCCTGAGTTTGTCATTGTTTATGTGATTATTACAAATCCTTGAATGTTTTATTGCTTATCTGACAGTGCATAAACAAAATGATCACACACACACACACACGTCCTTCTGCCAATTAAGAAAATCTCATATCAGTCGTTATTTGCTTTGCCATTACTTCCATTATTGATGGACACTACTCTAATGTGATGACGTTAAA